ATTTATTCAGATTCGAAATTTTGTATAGTTTTTGCAATAATAAATAAAGTTTTAATAACTTTTTATTAAATTTCATAAATTTGTAGTTTTATTAAAACAATGCTTTTTTTGCCAGTAGTCGGCACCACTTGCCAATTGGCGGCATGGCATGTTCCAACAGTCGGCATACCAATTTTTATACCCTCCACCATAGTATGGAGGGTATATTAAGTTTGTCATTTCGTTTGTAACACCTCGAAATATACATTTTAGACCCTACAAAGTATATATATTCTTGATCAGCATAAAATTCTATGTCGATTTATCAATGTCCTTCCGTCTGTCCGTCTGTGAAAATCACTCCAGCTTCCGAACGAAATGAAGTAGGTTGATAAAATTTTACTCAAATGCGTACTATGTCTGCAGGACTTTTGGTATTGAAAATGGGCCATATAGGTCCACGTCTTCGGATAGCCCCTATATAACGGTACCTCCCGATAATCGGTATTTTGATGATTTTAGCGACATTATTTACCGGAATTGTTTCAAATTTGGTATTTAAAGTTTTTAATAGATATTACAGCATAAAACAGAAAATGGCAATGTAGGTCCACGTCTTCGTATAGCCCCCATATAACGGTACCCCCGATCTTCGGTATTTTGATGATTTTAGCGACATTATTTACCGGAATTGTTTCAAATTTGGTATTTAAAGTTTTTAATGGATACTACATCCTAAGACAGAAAATAAGCCATGTAGGTCTACGTCTTCGTATAGCTCCCATATAATGGTACCCCCCAATATTCAGTATTTTGATGATTTTAGCGACATTATTTACCGGAACTATTTTAAATTTAGTATTTGAAGTTCGTAATGGATGCTACAGCCTATCACAGAAAATTGTCTGTGCAGGACCACGCCTTCGTATAGACCCCATATAACGGTACCCCCGATCTTCGGTATTTTCATGATTTTAGCGAACCTATTTACCGGAATTGTTTCAAATTTCGCATTTGAAGTTCGTAATGAATTCTACAGCCTATGACAGAAAATTGTCTGTGCAGGTCCACGTCTTCGTATAGCCCCCATATAACGGTACACCCCGATATTCGGTATTTTGATGATTTTAGCGACATTATTTTTCGGAATTGTTTCAAATTTCGCATTTGAAGTTCGTGCAGTTCGATATAACAGCCTATGACAAAAAATTTTCTGTGCAGATCCACGTTTTATAACCACCATGGTACCTCCCTATATTCGACGATTTTGACGATTTTAGCTACATTTTAAACAGATTTTTTTTCGAGTTTCGCATGTGAATATTGTGATATAAGTTGCCTTGTGACAAAAGTTGCCTATGCAGGTCCACGTTGCCATATAGACTCTAATATACGGCTACATGATTTTAACAGAATTTTAAAATCCCTTTATTTTATTTTATTTTATTTTTTTTTTTTTGAAAATTGTTAAATTCGTACCAAATGGTGGTGGGTATTCAAAGTTTGGCCTGGCCGAACTTACAGCTTTTTAGCTTGTTTTGTAAGAATAGTTAATAATAATAATAAATTAATTCATTAAAATATAATATTTTTGTTTAGTTAAACTGATCTTTATTGTACTTTTCTTGAGTATATTGATTTTTGAGGACCTTCATAGACAAAAATTTAATTTTTATTAGAATAAATCATCTTTTCTTAGCGAAATTGTACACAAAATTTAGTTATAATAATTTCATTTATTTGGGCTTAAAAATAAAAAGTGCCGACTACTGGGACATGCCGAACTTAGGCACACTTACCCTATGTTCCTTAAAATTGGATTTAACTGGTTAAAAAAGTATTTTTCAGTTTTGCCGACTAACGTATACCCTCAGCCCATGCCAGTTTATTAAAATTTCTTTTGACTTGAGATTATTCAAAATGTTGACCCTCTATGAAGGAGATACCAAAAGAGTGGGCCAATATTATAAACTTCTCGTCTGAACTAACTCTGTTATACATTACAAAGTAGCCGATTTGGCCTATATCGACCTTCACTTTAAATAAGATATGTGATAATTTTTGGAAAATGTTGGAATATGCGTGAGGTTCCATTCCACTTCATCTAATATTGATAAAAAATTGGAAATTTTAAATTTAAAATTCCGGTCATTAGTGTCGCAAATATTATGAAAATACCGAATATCTAGGGGTACCGTTATATGGAAGCTATACTAAAACGTGGACCTATGTGTACAATACCGAATATCGGGTGATGCCGTTATATGGGGGCTATACGATATCGTGGACCTATGTAAATAATTCTCTTCAGGGGCTAAAGTGCTCACAAACAACTCCTTGTGTGGGTACAAAGTCTTATCCTTGGCAGCCTAACGAATTCTCTCCTTGAGTATTAAGCCGGAATGTCTGTCTATCAAAACCATTTCGTGTCCATACAACAAGTACAAAAATAAAATGGTTAAAAGTCCTCTAGGTCAGCCCATTGAGGACATCGTTGACCAATTGTGATCGCTTCTTCGACTGAGCAGTCTTTTTACAAGTTTATGTTTCTTGTCAGCAATTTGATGGCATTTTATTGGGTTTTAATATCTATTATTGTTATTTTTATTAAAAAGCCCCAAGGCATTTTCCACTGAATGAGGATAATATTGTTTCTTTTGCAAACACTTCCACCTGCTGTTTTGCAACATATCATGAATTTTTATATCTCCAAGCGTTTCCCATGAATTTCAAAACATAAACAAAGACAATTTTGATGTTTTATACCCTACAACACTATGTGTTGGGGGTATTATAAGTTTGATTGGACCATAATTTATGTAACACTTCGAAATATTGGTTTCCCATATAGGAAAGAATATATGGATCTTCCTAGCTCGCCGAGCTGAGTCGATCTAGCTATGTATGTCCGTCCGTCCGTCCGTCTGTCCATGTTAATTTGTAATCACGCTACAGGTCGCAATTATGGCCCGATCTTCACGAAATTTAGAATGTAGGTGGGGTTAGGGTCAGAATAGAACCCTATTTCTTTTGGAGATGATCGCCAAATGTTTAGGGGTTGAAATGGACCAAATACTGAAAAAATGTCGGATTTTGCAGTAACTATACAGGTCGCAATTATAGACCAATCGACGCGGAATTTCGCATGTAGCTAGAGTTTAGGGATGGGAAGAAGCCTACCAATTTGGGTGGTCCTCGGTTAATATTTAGCGGGTAAAATAGACCATATCTTTTGTGTTGAAAAAATTCAAAATTTTTCATTAAACCGTGAATATTTTAAATCCCGGCGAAATCACAAGGCCATGACAAGGTTACTTCTGATCTTTACATTGATGTTAACATCCAACAAATCGGATATATAGCAAAATATGTGCGATATATATGTCTATCAAAGAAGATATGCTTGAAAGATATATTTTATGTCGAGAACGGCTGAACTGATTTCGACAGTTCTCATTAATTCAGAATGGCCTCTTGGTAGAAAAGAAAAAACGCCTAAAAAATCGCATAAAAATATCTCTCTAAAGATGAAAATATTGATTTTCTAATATTTTCTCATATTTTTTTCAATTTTGTCATATTTTTGCCATATTTTCATTTTGAATTAAACATTTGGTAATATTTCTACAGCTAACAAAACTAAGTAGTTAGGATATCATATACAGATCGCATTTATGGCCCGATCCTTACGAAATTTTGCATGGGGATAAGATGAGGGTCAGAATAGAAGCCTACTCTTTTTGGAGATGATCGCCATATATTTAGGGGTTGAAATGGACCAAAAAACTGCAAAATTGTCAGCAGGTCGTAATTATCGCCAGATCCTCAGGCACATTTGAATGGAGGTTACCGGACATTGCAAAAGCCAAGCAATTTTGGATGGCCATCCAAAAATATTCAATGTGCGAAATAGTTTGCCAACTTTTGTCGACAAAATACGAAAATGTCCATTACGGTGACTTCTTGGAGAATTCACAAATACAGGAAAGACGCACTTCTGACTATTGCGTTAACGCTGAGTAAGTTAGTTGAAGAATATAGTCAAATGGCTGTATCTCATATAGATGCGTTTCAGTCAAAAATCTTCTGCCACTTCTGAGAGATTATAGGTCTTTGGGAAATATTGGTTTCAGATCTAGGAAGACCATTTACGTGCAACATCTACCAATAAATTGGAAATGCGCAAATTAGTTTAAGTTGCTATTATTCGAAAATTAGAGAACGAAACCTGATGGTTTTCTTTTATTATTTGTCACAATATCTTGTGGAATTCTTTCGAGTATCTCGCCTATATAAACTGTATCGTTTATTGTAGTGTTGTAGGGTATTCAACGGTCGGCCCCGCTCCACTGGAGCCATTGCTTACTTGTTCCTTTTAAAAACAAACAATTCCATCGGCTTGTGTAGGCGTTTTCTGTTACTGGACCACAAATCAAATCAAAAACGGAATAAAGTTAGTCAGCGTCATTGGGACAGATGCCAGTGAAAGGAAAACAAACAACCGATACAATTTACCCAAATAATATTACATCATAGCATATAATTGTGTTTGGATGGTTTATGTGTGCACATGTGTGTGTGTGTGTATTATAGATTTTTTCAGAATTCCAAAACTCACTTTTGTTTCTAGCCAAGAAATTCATTCTAAAATGTTTCTCAATTTTTAAATAAAATTTTGAATTTCTCATAGTGGTTAGTGTGTGATAGTGTCTTTCTTTTTTAACTGCAAATTTCATAGTATTAAGCTCGAGAAATAAATACATCAAAAAATGATTTCTTGTTATGTGTATGTGTTTCAAACTGATTACAAAATCCATCCAAATCCCAATTCTACCCCTGCTCTTTTTTTCACTTACTACCCTTTTCCCATTATTGCATTTTTCCAATCAAATTAATTAACAGCAACGAAAGGCATTAATAAATTCCATTTGAACTTTAACCTTTTTTTAGAATAAACTATCTGCCTCAATCAGACATTAATTCGATTTCATTTTCTGCGTTTTTTTTTTTTTTAATTTCAGTAACGAAAAAGGCCGTACAGCCAGAAAGACAGCCATTCACATCGACATACACACGCGATTGTTAATTAACAAACAAAAGGAGCCACTGATTGCATTTTCATATTTTTGCAGGTAATTGAATTAAAAAAAAAAAAAATCTTATTGCATTAAGCTCAGGTTTATCACTGATACCAATTGTAGTCCATGAAATTGTATGTATGTGTGTGTGTGTGGGGGGGGGGATGTTATGTTGCAACCCAGCTAACAATTTTTTCCGAGGGCTCTGATGTCCGCACATACTCGTTTATTTTGTTTTGTTTGAACATAACAAAGCTAAAGAGAAAAAAACAGCGTATACAGAGAGTTAACTCTTTTTTGGCAAGAATTTCTAATGTTACTCCAGAAAAGTTTCCGAGTAATCTGCACATACTCGTTTCTTTAGTTTCATTTGAAAAAAAAAAACACAAAAATTCTGACATTAGCAGAGGGGTAACTTTTTTCTGTTGAGATTTATTTTACCGTTCCTTTCGAAAAGTTTCCGAGTACTCTGCACATGCTCGGTTGAAATTATTTGAAGAATTTTGTGTATACGACTTTTTTGTGTTTTTTCATACCCTACGCCACAAGGTGGTCAGGGTATTATGTCTTTGTGCATTTGTTTGTAACAGGCAAAAGGAAACGAGATAGACCCATAGTTCCTTTTGATGATCTGCATAGAATCACATTCTGAGTCGATTTATGCATGTCCGTCCGTCTGTCCATGTATTCTTGTGAACAAAATGCAGGTCGCATTTATTATCCGATTGAGATAAAATTTTGCAAACAACATTTGTTTGTCCCAAGGACGAACCCTACTGAAATTGGAGATAATCGGTCAAAATTTAGATATAGCTCCCATATATATCTTCGTCCGATTTGCCTTTTATTGTGTACCAAACGTGTAATATCAGTCCGAATAGTATGGAATTTTTGCTCCCATATACACTTGTGCTCACACAATTAAGTTACTATACATTGCCTTATCAAAACAGACAATAAAATTGCAACGGTGTATTTTTGCATATTCTCCTTTGCTTGTAAGTTTTGTTTTCATGTGTTCTAATATTTGGCAGCATTATTTACAAAAACAATGCGTGTTATGAAGTACAGTTGCATTTCTTTTTGCCTATCGTTATAATAATGCGCTCACATAATTAAGTCATTATTGTTTTAAAAAGTGTTAGTGTCATTTTAACACCGATATTCAAACGGTATTACTTGCAAATTGGTGGTCCACGGTTGATGCACAAAAATTTGCATTAGTTTCTATTTGCTTCTCAAAACAATGGGTAAGAAAAAAAGCTCAACTCCGTGCGAAAGGAAAATAATATGGGAGTGTTTCCAAAAATACCAAAATGTTTCGGAAGTCGCCCGAAATTTAAATTTTTCCCGCGGAAAAATAAATAACGCCATCCATTACTTCAAAAAGAACGGCACTTTTGAAAATTTACCGCGTTGTAAGCCTAGAAAAACAACTCCAGCTGACGACAGGCGATTGGTGAAGTTAAGTAAAGTCGATCCATTTTTAACATCTACAGAGATCAGGGCACAAATGGATGAACATTATGGGGTGGTAATATCTGCACAGACTGTCCGACGTCGTCTGCAAGAAAATTTATTAAATGGGAGAATTGCACGATGCAAACCAAACGTGTCAAAAAAAAATATCCAGAAAAGACTGCACTTTGCAAAGCAGCACCTACATAAATGTCCCAGATTCTGGAATTTAATTGTTTGGAGCGATGAATCAAAATTTAATGTATTTGGAAATGATGGTAGACCCTATGTTAGACGTCCTCCGCTACAGGAATTAAACCCCAGATACACAAAGAAAACTGTTAAGCATGGGGGTTCATCTGTAATGGTATGGGGATGTTTCACGGCATCCGGCGTTGGCCCAATTGTCCAAATTGAAGGAAAAATGACTGGAGTTATGTACCGAAATATCCTAGAGGAACATTTAAATGGCGATTATTCCGATAATTTACCCTTAACCTACATATTCCAACAGGATAACGACCCGAAACACTGTTCACGAGTCGTTAAGGACTGGATTGCTACCAATAATATTAAAACCCTGGAGTGGCCCGCCCAGAGCCCTGATCTAAACCCAATTGAAAATCTTTGGGGCATCATAAAACGATCGGTTGCAGCTAGAAAACCTGCAAACAAAGCATCCTTGTGGGAAATCATAAAGGACGAATGGTACGCCATCACCCCTGCGCAATGCTCCGCTTTAGTGAGTTCTATGGGTAAGAGGTGTGCAGAGGTCATATTACGAAAAGGATTCCCAACGAAATACTAACGACAAGATTGCTTGGATTTCTTAAAATTACGTTACTGACATTTTTGTCCCAATGACCTAATTGTGTGAGCACTCTAAAATGAATTTAATGTGTCATTTTTGTTGTATTGATTTTATTTTTTTACTTTAATGCTCGGAAATGTGTTATTTTCTTTAATTTGTTCCATTTTTATTTTTTAACAATAAAGTTATTTTCATTTAATTCCTAAGATTCAAAAAAATCTACTGCTTATATCGTTTGGAGGTAGTGTCTTAATTGTACGAGCACAAGTGTATATTGTTCATCCGATTTGTTATTTTTGTCCTCCGCAGCCGTAATATACACTCTCTAACAACAATATTTGGGGAAATATATCAAATACAGCTCAGAAATACATTTGCTAAATTTTATCGAGATCCGTTCAGATTTGGATATAGCTCCCATATATGTGTTTGTTTTCTCTTTCGAGACGAGCTTAATGATCTGAAATTTGCAGTGAAAAGGAAAGCCAGATAGACACTATCACACACTCACCACTATGCGACGCGTTTCGCCGTTGGTTAAGCGGCTCATCAGGCATATTTGGTGTGGATGATGGCTTACAAGGGCCGTTCTCTGGAAAGTAGTATATATTTCGAACTTATTGCAAATTAGCATATGCGAATTATACACTAGAAACTCTCCAGGTTCGACTCAAGTTCTATTGGCAGATCTTTTTCACAGCAAAGTTTTGTTTTTGTAGTGATGGATTTTTTGTCCACAACAACTACATTGCTTCCAATGCATACACTTGTTTTAGTGCTGCTTTAGGAAGACGGGTTAATGGCTATGAACGTAGAGACGGCAACTTCTAGTTGGCTGCACACCGAGGTCCGCGGTTCAAAACCACAGCCAGGCTCGGCTGAATTTTTGAGTTTTGCCTTGATAAGGCGAAGATCATATGTTTTATGATTTATGTGTTTGTTTTCTCTTTCGAGACGAGCTTAATGATCTGAAATTTGCAGTGATTTAATTTTTATTGTGCATCAAACGTCTAATATTTGCCGAAATGGGATGAAATTTGGCACTTACGACCGAATTGAGTCTAGAAGCTAGTATGTCAAATTTGGTGAATATCGGTTCAAATATAGCTATAGCTCCCATATATACTGTTCATCCGATTTATTGTATTTGTTACCCACAGCCGTAATATGCACTTCGTAACAACGATATTCAGGGAAATATATCAAATACAGCTCAGAAATATCTTTGCCAAATTTTTTCGAGATCGTTTCAGATTTGGATATAGTTCCCATATATATTTTTATCCGATTTCAAATTAATTTCGCACCACATGGGCAATACAAGTCCGAATTTGGCATATTTAGTCCATTGAACTTTAAATTATAATTATAACCATAGCGTGTATGATTGAATTCTCCCATAAATGCTTTTAATTGTTATGCGCAGCTCTACTAAATTAGCAAAGTGGTGTAGGGTATCATAAAATCGGTCCCGCCCGACTTTAAGACTTTCTTTACTGGTTTTATATATTAATTTACGTATTCCTTATATTTTACAAAAAAACTGAATACAAATGTTCTGTCATTAAATTGAAAAATATAAACATAAACAAGTAAGCAAAGGCTACAGTCGAGCGGGGCCGACCGTTGAATACCCTACAACACTACAATAAACGATACACTTTATATAGGCGAAATACTCGAAAGATCAGGTTTCGTTCTCTTATTTTCGAATAATAGCAACCTAAACTAATTTTCTCATTTCCAATTTATTGGTAGATGTTGCACGTAAATGGTCTTCCTAGATCTGGAACCAATATTTCCCAAAGACCCATAGTCTCTCAGAAGTTTTTGCCACTTCTGACTAAAATTTATTATTGGTTTTTGACTGAAACGCATCTATATGAGATACAGCCATTTGACTATATTCTTCAACTAAATCAGCGTTAACGAAATAGTCAGAAGTGCGTCTTTCCTGTATTTGTGAATTCTCCAAGAAGTCACTGTAATGGATACTTTCGTATTTTGTCTACAAAAGTTGGCAAACTATTTCACTGCTTGGCTTTTGCAATGTCCGGTAACCCCCATTCAAATATGCCTGAGGATCGGGCGATAATTACGACCTGCTGACAATTTTGCAGTTTTTTGGTTCATTTTAACCCCTAAATATATGTCGATCATCTCCAAAAAGAGTAAGCTTCTATTCTGACCCTCATCTTATCCCCATGCAAAATTTCGTAAGGATCGGGCCATAAATGCGATCTGTATATGATATCCTGATATCCTAATTACTTAGTTTTGTTAGCTGTAGAAATATTAACAAATGTTTAATTCAAAATGAAAATATGACAAAGTTGAAAAAATATGAGAAAATGTTAACAAATCAATATTTTCATCTTTAGAGAGATATTTTTATGCGATTTTTTAGGCGTTTTTTCTTTTCTGCCTAGAGGCCATTCTGTATTAATGAGAACTGTCGAAATCAGTTACGCCGTTCTCGACATAAAATAGATCTTTCAAGCATATCTTCTTTGATAGACATATATATCGCACATATTTTGCTATATATCCGATTTGTTGGATGTTAACATCAATGTAAAGATCAGAAGTAACCCTGTCATGGCTTTGTGATTTCGCCGGGATTTAAAATATTCGCGGTTTAATGTAAAATTTCGAATTTTTTTCAATATAAAAGATATGGTCTATTTTACCCGCTAAATATAATTCGATGACCACCCAAATTGGTAGGCTTCTTCCCCGCCCTAAACTCTAGCTACATGCGAAATTCCGCATCGATTGGTCTATA